AGGAACTGCCTGCATACTCTCACCACATGAGGCTGGGCATTGTCATGTACCAGGAGGAACCCAGGACCCACTGCACCAGTGTAGGGTCTGACAATGGGTCCAAGGATTTCATCCCGATATCTAATGGCAGTCATGATGCCATTGCCTAGCCTGTAGAGGTCTGGGTGTTCCTCCATGGATATGCCTCCCCAGACCATCACTGACCCACCACCAAAAAGGTCATGCTGAATGATGTTACAGGCAGCATAATGTTCTCCACGGATTCTCCAGACCCTTTTACATCTGTCACATGTGCTCAAGGTGAACCTGCTCTCAACTGTGAAAAGAACAGAGTGCTAGCGGCGGACCTGCCAATTCCGGTGTTCAATGGCAAATGCCAATCGAGCTCTATGGTGCCGGGCAGTAAGCACAGGGCCCACTAGAGGACATCGAGCCCTCAGTCCACCCTCATGAAGTCTGTTTGATTGTTTGGTCAGAGACATTCACACCAGTGGCCCTCTGAAGGACATTTTGTAGGGCTTTGGCCGTGTGCATCCTGTTCCTCCTTGCAAAGGAGCAGATACCAGTCCTGCTGATGGGTTAAGGTCCTTCTACTTCCCTGTCCAGCTCTCATAGAGTAACTGCCTGTCTCCTGGAATCTCTTCCATGCTCTTGAGACTGTGCTGGGAGACACAGCAAACCTTCTGGCAATGTGCCATCTTGGAGGAGTTGTGCTGCCTTGGTAACCTCTGTAAGGTCCAGGTATCGCCTCATGCTACCAGTAGTGACACTGACCTTAGCCAAATGCAAAAACTAGTGAAAAAGAGTCAGAAAAAGATGAGTAGGGAAAAAAAGGTCAGTGGCCTCCACCTGTAAAACCATTCCTGTTTTGGGGGTCATCTCACTGTTGCCCAACTAGTGCACCTGTTGTTAATCAGTTTCAGCTGCTTTGGTGTTAATGAAATTAACAACCCCCACTGCTACTTAACTGACCAGATCAATATCCCAGGAGATTAATTGACTTGCTATACTCTGATTAAAAAGTGTTCCTTTAATTTTTTTGAGCAGTGTATAAGTAATTTAGTATGTGCTGCCATCACACGTCTCAGCGCCCACATGTAGCCCACATAACTGCTGTGCTGGGCACCATAGAGCTGCCTCCGCTGAGGACCGTATCCTGTTCTCCCGACTAACCACTGGGCAGTCTACCTTCCTGCTCTACCTACATGTGGATTCACCACATGCAGGCTACAGGCTTGTCACCAATTGCCATCCCAACTGTTTGACCGGGCACAGTGTGGTCCCAAGGACAAAGGCAACTTTGTTATATGTGGATGGAGCCGGTGGGTGCAGCCTGTTGCCGGCACCAAGCTTTGAGCTGTGTTTACACATGATCACGCCCCTTCCCATACCAGCCCTTGTTGTGCCAGACTGACACCCATCTTTATTACTGTGTGCAAAGCCCTGTGCTAAGGACTTGACCCGTTGTGCCGGTCCATTGTGCTTTCCTGCTGTGTGTCCAGAGTGCCAAGAACTTCCGTGCACCTGCTTTCTGCTGTGAACCCTGTGCCAAAGACTTAACCTGTCTTGCCGGACCACTGTTCCTCCCAGGGACTTAACCCCATTTTGCTGGACCATTGTTCCTCCCTGCTGTGTGCCCAGAGTATCACAATGTATATGGGGTAAGGGGAGTGTTAGTCTGCTATTGCTTCTAACAAATGAAAGCCAAACTCCAGCTTTCCCTTTATAAGCAGTTACAGCAAAACAGTGTTTTTTTTCCTTTTGGGAAAAAACGTTTTACATAAATAAAATCTGATGATTGTAGGCATCCATGTCATTGACTTGGACAAGGGAAGGGGGGAGTGAATAGCTTTTTGTTTTTGGTTTTTTTTTTTTTTTTTTTTTTTTTAATCGGACCCCCCGGAAACCCATCCATGAACCCCAAGTTAAGAACCCCTCACACAGGGCAAAGCACAGAGGAAAGGTCTTTGCAGTTGTTGAAATTCTTCAGGGCTTGGAACATGGAACAGGCTGATAAGGTTTGAAAACAACCCTCTCCCCCATAAATCTGAGTCAATGTCTGGAGAATGAGGTGTTTCAAACAGTCTTCTTGGGACTCTGAATCTGAGTCGAAGATGGTGACAGAGGCCACAGATCCAGTTTGATTTTAATGGCTCAAAAGGGTCAAAGACAGTCTGCAGGGGATGGCACTGGAGCATGCTTAGAACCTCTGCAGGCAAAATGCTCTAGTAGCCGAGCACAAAACAGTTGAATAGTCCAGAATGGACATAGAGATCCCTGTGGACATGAGGGAGGCCACCAGACAGAGCTGAGGATGACAACCCTCTAGGGATCTTTGGTTGCAATTCATAAGCGTCGGGTCCTTCAGGGGATATGGAGTAAATGCTCCCAGAACCACTAGGGGAGCATGGGCTGAGGTCATTCATAGCAGCAAAACTGTCCATTCTGTGTCTTAGCAAAGTGATGCAACCAAGTCCAATATTGGGCAAGGCCTCAGGTACTCACAAGCCTGAGCAGCTGATGCGGATGAGAGCTTCTGGCAGTCAGGGGTGACCAGGTCACTGTAGGCAGTATATTGGAGGTGATTGCGAGCGCAGGAGAACGTAAAAGCAGCTAGCATAAAAAGGTAAAACCTCAACACCTCAAAATTACAGTAAAAAATAATAAATATGCAGCGCTAGATAATAACATACGATGAACAATAATAATGGTAAAAAATATGGTAATAAAATCGTATAAATATAGGGTGAGCGCTAATGAGGCACAAAGTTGGTGAAGTGATGGTTACGTCTTATATTGACGTATCTATATGACACAAGTTAAATAGTTGAGTGACAATAGTGAATAGTCCGATCAACTAATATAGCAGTCCATAAATAAGGTGTTCCGTGCTCCGTGCCAGTGTTTTACAGGTGCCGAGAGCCAGTACAACTATGCACTTACCAGAAGCGCATACATAATGCGCAATATAAGTATAATCCTGCAATAAGGTCATCTAGGTCTGGTCTGGGACTGCGGGGTCATCAAGCTCAAATGCGGACACTTAGGATGATGCTGCTCACACACAAGGGGCACACTCCGCTCACATACCAATCAGAAAACAGCTCCAAGATATGGCTCCAGATCCAAAGATGGCTCCACTTGTAGTAACGTTCCCGCGCTCCCTCCGACCTTCTGCACTCTGGGGCCACACAGCTCTTAGCACTGGTAGGCGACCAGTGGAATTAGAGAAGAGGAGAGCAGTGGGATGGTACCTCTAGATTAAATGATGGAAAAGAGCTTGGAGCACATACATCACACCCCCCAGCAGATAGTCAGTGCTTGGACCCTGATCCTTAATGTTTATCACAATGAAACCAGCAATGCTGGGAAATTTTAAAAGGCGACAACAGTGAGGTAGCTCCTCGTGTTTCAGTACTCATAGTCAGTCTTCAGAGACAGGGCAACACCTGGTGCTTCGCCACATCTCTGATACTAGAAAATGCTCTCGACAGCTAACACCGTACAAGCTGGTGTGGAAAGTGCCACAATGCAAAGCCCAATGCCTGAAGCTCACATTCCAAGCTAGCCTTGTAAGTCCAAAGCTAGGCTGACAATACATCAATCTGTATAGATGATGTATAGTGACCAGCTCAAGCGGCAGTGACAGCCAAGAATCTTGACTGAAGTTATTGAAGCAAGGGGATCTTAGCAACGTTTTGCTGCTGAGGTCAGGGGAGGATATTACAAAGGGTGCAGTAAATGATAAAAAGGTACACTGTCTACAGTAAAAGAGTGTGATGTGCATAGATAAGCCTGTATGAACACAAACCTTTATCTCCATCTGAAATCAGATCCCACTCTCCTTTCTGGACTATGGTTATATTTCCCATTGCCTGACTTAGCCTCAGTACACTTCCATGCTGGTCACTGGCATCTACGGGTTCAGTAAGCTGCAAGATGAAAAACAACATTTAGTCTTTTAATAGTGCCATAATGATGGACAATTTTAACAGATTTCCTGCATTAAAGGTTAGTAGTTCACTAAATTAAGAGTTATGCATTTTATGATCTGAAAAAGAATTCTGAATTTCGGTTACTAACTAAACAGTGTTCCAATATAAAACAGCTTAAGAATAAGGTCATCAACAGAAACCATTGTTTCTGACAAGACAGACATAATAAAGACACCACGGAAAACTTGATTTTGTAAGTGAATGTGTTAGGAGTTATCTGCACCCTTCCTTCATTCACTGCTTGGCGAGTCTGGCAATAATATGTACAATATTTTTCTGGCTATGTGACCCAATTATTAGTTATTGTGGAACTTCACTCTCTTTCAACATTGACCATTTTGAATCCTTATACTGATAGCATTAATAAATAGACAGCAAAGTATATTATATTTAAGTGTTTTAAATAGTGGTTTACATTTCTTCAGTTACCTCCTAGTTTCTGTGCCTAGGCAAAATGATGTCATGCATTCTAGGAGTCTTCAGGATGGTGGGAGGGGTTTCCTCAGCTAAGCACACACTCCTGTCTGCATGCCTAAGCTAAAGGCAGATGGATTCCAGTAAGTAATTGCTACATGAATCATCTATCCTTACTCAAGATGGCCACAGCCAGAAATTATAGGGGGTGTATTTCGAAGTGATTTCTTAGCAAAGTAAAGCATGGAGACATGAATGAGGGAGTTTGCTTTGAATATTAAAAATACATTAAACTGTGCTTTTGGTTTGTGGTGCTTCGATATAGTGTAGTTCTGCTTTAAGCAAGAATCAGGATGACAGTCCTAACCATGTACACCTGAAATGCAGTTAGAAATTACTAAATTTACTATTACCAAAATGTACAAGTCAAGTAGACCTTGTGCCAAGCACAGTTTTCCCCATCTGCTTTGCTTGTTACCACAGAAAATTAGCTTTGCTACACACCTTTGGTTTAACCACTTCTGTGCCATCCTATAGCAGAAATACTGCTGCAGGGCGGCAGGGGGTGCGCAAATACACACACACACACACACTCGTGGCCTCAGCTGTCAATCACCGGGTCCTGGCCGGTAATTTCTCCCAGGCACCCGGTGATTGCCGTGTGTCTCCGGAAGGGGAGAGACCTGTGTATAAACACCACAGATCTCTCCCGTCAGCTCCTGCACACTGCTTTGTATGGCTCTGCATAGCATCAAGTCAGTTGTCCCAAGTGTCAGAATGCCCACCGCAGTCCTGCTCTAAGTCGCTGATTGCCGCCATTACTAGTAAAAAATAATAATAAATTCCAGTATATATACTGCCATTTGTAAACGCTATAACTTTCACATAAACCAATTAATTTACACGTATTTGGATTTTTTTTTTTAGTAAAGACATGTAGCAGGATACATTTTGTCCTAGATTCATGACGAAATTTGATTTTTTACATTTTGTTTACTGGACATGTTTAGCCAGTTGCCCTCCAGAGGATTTACCCCCCTTCCTGACTCAGCCACTTTTTGCATTATGGCGCTGCGTTACTGTAACTGACAATTGCGCACTCATGCAACACTGCACCCAAATGAAATTTACGTCCCCCCCCCCCCCCAAAATGAGCTTTCTTTCTGTGGCAATTGATCGCCTGTGCGTTTATTTTTTGCAATTGTAATTTTTCTAGAGATTACATCAGGGATACATAAAGGGAGATTTGCTAAAACTGGAGAGTGCAAAAACTGGTGTGCAGCTCTGAATAGAAACCAATCAGCTTCCAGGTTTTATTGCCAAAGCTTAACTGAACAAGCTGAAGTTAGAAGCGGATTGGCTACCATGCACAGCTGCACCAGATTCTGAGTGCTCCAGTTTTAGTATTTTTATGCTGAAAGATCATCATAGAGCTCCTTGACACTGCCATTCCTTTTCCTCCCAAACGTGAACAGTAAAATGTTATGTCAGTACCTACTTATACTTACCATTGCTTCATACAGCCGAGTGAACTCCATAAAATTTGGAGTGAGCACAGCTCTCTGATAACCTTGTATAATAGATGGCTGCTGCGCAATAAGCCAAAGTCCATCCTAAAGAGAGAGAAAAATGCTTAGTACTGCACCACACAGACTAAATCATACCCCACTATCAGATACTTACTGCATCTATCACTACAGGAATACCTTTCGTCTTTGCTTTTTCAATTATACCCTACAAGAAATAGCAATATTAATGAGAGTCATTAGGACAATTAGGTAATATAAAGAATGTACAAAAAAGTGACAAACAATGATTAGGCCGGACAGTGGCAGTGCAGGGTCTCGGGGAGCGCGCAGCACTGCGATTCGGTGCCCACTGTGGAACACCGATCGTCGTACAGGACCTCTGTACGAGGTCCCGATCATGTGATCACTGATTGGCCAATCAGTGATCACACGCAGAGTAGTAAGCAAGATGTCACTTCTGACATCATTGCTTACTACGTGTGAAATCTGTGAATGATCAGACTTCACATGGTACAAGGCTATTCACAACAGCCTTGTACCATGTGACAAGCTGTGACCAATCATAGCTCACACAGTAGTTCTCAATGGCTGCAAGAATGCAGCCAAAGAGAAGGAGAAATGATTGCTTTTACAATCTTCATCACCCCCCAAAAGTAGTACAGTGTCACCATGCTGACACTGTATTGCTAGTATGTAAATAAAAATATATATATAAAAAAAAAAAAACATTAAAAAAATGTAAAAAAAAAAAAAAAAAAAACAATGTTTAAAAATTATAATTTTTGGTTATAAACTAATTTGGGTTATTTTTTTTTTACTAAAAAGATAACGGAATAAATTTGGGCAAAGATTTATGATGAAATATTATTTGCAAAATTGTATAAGAAAAACACTTTTTTCAAAATTTTTAGACATTTACATAGCAAAAAAAATAAAAATCCCATAGGTGAATAAATACCACTAAAATAAAGCTTTATCTCTCTGAAAAAAATGCTAAAAAATTCATATGGGTAGAGTGTTGCATGTCCGCACAATTGTCATTCAAAGTGTGATAGCACTGAAAGCTGAAAATTGGCCTGGACAGGAAGGGGGTATAAGTGTCCGGACATGAAGTGGTTAAAATAGAACTAAAATTAGGAGAAAAAAAAACAGGTGGTCTCTTTATTGTAATGTCTTTTCTGTAATAAAACACATTTATTTGCCTGTTCACAATATCCTGTTGAATGCACGCTGAGCTGCAGCTGCACACGCAGCCACAATGACTACTGCGCATGTACAGGAGTTAGGTCACCCTGCACCAGTCAATCAAGACAGACGAAGACTGAAAGAAGGGAGAAGGTGCTGACACCAGTGAGGAATCATGTGAACACTGGACTGCGAGAACAGAGGTAAGTATTATGGCTTTTAGTTCAACTCTGTTGCCATTTTTCCACAGCAACCAAGCAGCTTCTATCTTTCATGGTTTCCGCACAGCTTAAAAAAATAAAAATTTTAAAGCCAATTGGCTGCGCTCCAGTTTAGACAGTTTGTCTCTGACACTTTTTTTTTTATCAATTACCCCCCGAATTAGATCTTTATTTGAATAAGTGTTTTGAAGGCAATATAGAATATCTTTAGGAACAGTTCATACCGTTTCTGCCCGAGATTCCAATTTGCAGCAAAATGTGCAATGGGAGCATGTGTGCCAATTATCCTGAATGGCAGGATGGCACCCCAAACATGGTGTGATTTTTGTTCCACAAAACACGCGTGTATAGTTGTTCCTTGCTCAGGGCCAAAATTTGCTCCCTGAGCTGCTTTGGTGCAACAAACACACAAAGGGCAGCCCATTCAAGTGAATGGGCTGCCTTATGCAAGACATAAAGGCATGTGAATAGCACTTTTCAAATTGGTAGCAGGATCTGTAACTAATATATGAACAGGGCCTTAGCGAAAAGATAAGTGCACTTTTGAAAATAATTATTTGTTATTTTGTGTGTAAGCAATAGGCCAGTAATACAAAAATATACAAGAATAATTTGGGATGAAGTTTATAGTATTGAAAATGGTATCTAAAATCTGAAATGACTCTTTAAATGGTTTATGGGTTCCACGCCAGCCAACAGAGAGACTGTTCTTCTAACTTGATCGCTACAGAACACACACAAGAGAACCTTTCCCAGCACAGCATTGCTTGCACAAACATGACCTGCATAATAGATCTTTCAGGACCCCTGAAGATGGTCTCCCAAGCAGTGTAAAAGACTTTGTGCCTCTTATACTCAGCATTATGTTCAGACTCACTCTTTTCCAAGCCTGGAAAGCTACCCTTAATTGGAAAAAATGTTGCTCTCCCAACTTTGCAACAATTTTTGTCAAGTGAATTCAGACCTTCCCTCCCCAAATACAAATCAATTTATACAGGTTTGGCTCCTTCCAAAAATGTATTAGGATTTGGCAACCTTGGATTGACTGCAGTTTAATTGATCAACTTTTCCACACCACAGACATTGGTATATTCTCTTTACTATGTACCAGCAAATCTGTGCATGTCTTCTTTTTCAGATCCATGCTCCTATTGCTTCTTTGCATATAAAGGGGGGAAAGCAGTGTATGAATGCATGAGTGATTGTTAGTGCAAGGTTTCTTGTACTGTATTATTATATACACTGTGCAGCCTAGCTATAGGTGTCTTGGCACAGCTGTTGCTGTGTCTACTGCTGTCCTTTATGCAATGTTTATCAGCTGATCTTTGCTTTAAATGCAAGAAGGCTTTAGGAATGAAGTTCGGTATGGGCTAGAAAAATGGCAAGTTAGAAGCATTTCTAAATGAAAGGCTAATCTCTGTAGGATATGCAATCCCAAATGCCCCATGGTCCTATCCTATAGGTACCAAAAAAAGTGAGATATTTGCTGATATGGGTTTACCAAACCCTTAAGGGGCAATCCTGTGTTAACATGACTATTCTGACTAGTCTACTGCAGTTTCTCAGAACCCCCACATCATTCCCAGAGGAAGGGATGTAAACCCAACAGGTATATTTTTTCTGTTTGACAACCCACCTATATCAAGGAACTTCCAATTCAAAGTGGTCTAATGGATAACTGACAAAGTATTTTGGCAGCTTCCCAAACTACCGACAGGTTACCCTTGCTCTTACAGGAGTAAACATTCGGTCATCAAGCAGTACTGTACCATCCAAAGCACAGTTTGTAGGTTAACCTATAAACATTTCATTGTAAGCTGAAAAGCTGTGTCTTCAGTGTACTAGAAACAGTAACTATCTACAGTCAGGTCTAGAAATATTGGGACATCGACACAATTCTAACATTTTTAGCTCTATGCACCACCACAATGGATTTGAAATGAAACAATGTGCTTTAACTGCAGACTGTCAGCTTTAATTTGAGGGCATTTACATCCAAATCAGGTGAACGTTGTTTTCTGTGGTCTTTTGGTGTTGCTGAGCTCACTGGTGCGTTCCTTCTTTTTAAGAATGTTCCAAACAGTTGTTTTGGCCAAGCCTAATGTTTTTGCTATCTCTCTGATGGGTTTGTTTTGTTTTTTTTCAGCCTAATGATGGCTTGCTTCACTGATCGTGACAGCTCTTTGGATCTCATCTTGAGAGTTGACAGCAACAGATACCAAATGCAAATAGCACACTTGAAATGAACTCTGGACCTTTTATCTGCTCATTGTAATTGGGATAATGAGGGAATAACACACACCTGGCCATGGAACAGCTGAGAAGCCAATTGTCCCATTACTTTTGGTCCCTTAACAAGTGGGAGGCACATATGCAAACTGTTGTAATTCCTACACTGTTCACCTGATTTGGATGTAAATACCCTCAAATTAAAGCTGACAGTCTACAGTTAAAGCACATCTTGTTCGTTTCATTTCAAATCCATTGTGGTGGTGTATAGAGCCAAAAATGTTAGAATTGTGTCGATGTCCCAATATTTATGGACCTGACTGTACATATCTACACAGTACTGAGTATGCAACCTGAACGGTAGGAAGAATCTTCTTGCTTGGACCTTGCTGCACTAACCCCAGCACTGTCCAGAGAAATTTTAAACATTAGCAATCTTTCCATGTATAAAATTAAGTTTGCTAAGTAAATATCTGCTTCACAGCACTGACCCTAGTGTCAGCAGGTGCTGGTTTTACTGGTTCCACACCATCCATGCTGGTACAGACCTGGAACCGAGCGGCTCTCCCATA